CCTCAAAAAGAATATTATAGCATTTAAAAAAGTGCAGAAAATGGCAATTAGAGTGATAAAAGGGTTGGAACACTTTCCCTATGAAGAAAGGTTAAAGCACTTGGGGCTCTTTAGCTTGGAGAAACGACGGCTGAGGGGTGACATGATCGAGGTTTATAAGATTATGCATGGGATAAAGCAGGTCAAGAAAGAAGTACTTTTCTCCCTTTCTCACAATACAAGAACTCGTAGGCACTCCATGAAATTGCTGAGCGGTCGGGTTAGAACAGATGATATACTTCTTCACCCAAAAAGTGATTAACACATGGAATTCACAGCCACAGGAAGTGGTGGCGGCAACAAGCATGGACAGCTTCAAGAGGGAACTGGATAAACATATGGAGCAGAGGTCCATCAGTGGCTATTAGCCACAAGGTATAGATAGGAACTCACAGACTGGGGCAGGTGATGCACTGTATTCTTGGTGCTTGGGGGGGGCAACAGTGGGAGGGCTTCTAGTGTCCTGGCCCCACTGATGGACCTCCTGATGGCACCTGGTATTTTTGGCCACTGAGTGACAGAGGGTTGGACTAGATGGGCCATTGGCCTAATCCAATGTTCTTATGAATATAGGAGAGAGAGAGAAGCTGCTTCAAGGCTGGTAAGAGGAAAGTGGCAACCTACCCATGTGTGTGAAAGGGAAAAGGGTAGGGAAAATGGGAGCTGGCAAATGGGGAACAATGGAGACAGCACATGGGGTGGCTCAGTGGGATAATATGGGATTTCCCCTTGCAGGTCCCCTCTTTATTTGCTAAACGAACTCCAAGTGAATTTTATTTTTGCTGAACATTCATCTTTTGGTAGAACCCTTGAGTTCTGTAGATCTTATTTACACCATTTTTATAGCACTTTTATATAATTTTTATACCATAAGACATTACTATACATTTTTCATGTTTAACAGCTATGGGCATTATCCATGCAGCATGCATGACTCAGAGCGATCCTAAGCAGGCCTATTCAGAATCCTACTCAAGTTTATTCAATGGGACACTCTTGGGAAAGAGGACTGCACTGTAGATTCTGAAGCCACAGCAAAGGTACCTTTCTTATTGTGGGGCCTCTAGTTTGATGCCACTATCCATAGTTCTGTAAATCGGGTACAGTTACTTGCCTAAGGACACTTGGTGAACCTTGGTGAAACTGAAGGACCGCTTTCTCCCTTATGACCCCAAACAGCCACTAAGGGAGGCCCACAGCTTTGGGTGCCCCTGCTGTCTAAGATTAGGAGGGTGGCAACCTGGAAGAGGGCCTTCCTGGTTGTGGCACCAACACTATGGAACTCTCTCCCTAGGGAGATTTGTGTGCCCTCTTTGGGTGCCATCTTCCCCTATTAGGAGAAGACTTTTTTTTGTTCCGTCTGGCGTTCCCTCAGTGATCCCTCCTTCCTAATCAATGTTTTAATTGTTGTTCTTAACTTTGTACTTTAACTCTTGTTTTAATTGTTTTAGTGATCTGTGTTTTTTGTGGGGGGTTAACACCCATAATCACAAGTGAGTTTCTGAGCCACTAAGCTATGCTATTCCAGTGTCTAAGGATTCTACTAAAAGGAAATGGCTTTGGAAAAAGAAGGTTGCTGAACTGACCAAAACAGCGACCATCATCAACAGGAAAGTGGGGGCAGCGTAACATCCTGGATTGTGCTGACCGAAAGTAAGCACACTTGATCCTCAAAGACATGGATGCAGCACTGCTTAATAGAAAGGTGGTTTATAAATAACATTCTTCCAAGACTTTGACATTCATACTCCATGTCAGAAACCATCCCGGGTCCAGCCCACTAGATCATTTACAGACCTTCTTTCATAGATACCTCCCCCACTATTTTACTGACCCCCCCCCCCCCACCCCCTTTTTTTTTTTTTTCTCATGAGGTCCAATGGCAACTCTCCTTGTGCACAAAGTCCCCACCAATCCTAAATTGCCTAGTAGTTCCACATTTATATCTTACTTTAACCCATTCCTTCAATGATGACAACATATTCTATCTTAGTTCTACTGTTAAGGTATGATAGTAATGCTTCTGCATAACTAGGAGTACAAGAAACATCCAGCTGGACAAAGTTTCCCAGAGATGTGCATACACATTTACGACATCTACATGTTACATCTTTCCAGGTAATATCGGTGGAGCTGATTAGCACTTCAACAAAGGTACCAAGTACTAGCAGCTATAAGGAAATTCCTACAGAAACAAAATAGTGGACAATAGGGGAAAGAAATGTATTGTGCCTTTCTATTTTATAAAAAGGTAAAGGTTCCCTTGCTCGAAAGCCAGTCGATTCCGACTCTAGGGTTGCGGTGCTTCTCCGTTTCCAAGCCGAAGAGCCAGCGCTGTCCGAAGATGTTTCCGTGGTCATGTGGCCAGCATGACTAAACACCAAGGCGCACAGAACGCTGTTACCTTCCCACCAAAGTGGTACCTATTGATCTACTTGCAATTTCTTGCTTTCGAACTGCTAGGTTGGCAGGAGCTGGAACTAGAGACGGGAGCTCACTCCGTCATATGGCAACTCAGGTCTTGAACTGCTGAGCTACTGACCTTCCACAGCCTGCAGTTCAGCGTCTTAACCACTTGAGCCACCGTAGCTCTATTTTATAATTATTTTATAATTATGGGCTAATCAGCTCCAAAACTGAAAGAAAAGGAAAGAAAGGAGAGTAAATTGATCTTCTCTTTTTCCTCCCACCACACTATTACCTGTGTGAGGATGTAGCTCCTGCGTGCCTCTTCCATTTTTATCAAACTAGCGTTGATATAATCATTATCGTCTTGCTGCAGTTTAATTCGACTGTGGTCAACTATAGAACAGACAATTAGAAAACACTGCTGAACACCTGTGCGATAAAGACATTCATTTTTAACACCAACCAACTTACTCAGGAACCATGGCTAAACATCTTTCATTTTTAAATAACAAAGTACAAAGCAGCATTCATTAGATACAATTCTGGAAGAACTCTTCTGAAGGAATGGTGGGTTTCAGAGCAGCTGATGTTTAATGCAATGATACCACTGACAGATGTTACAAATCACAATTTCTTTTGCATTCTGGGTAGTCTTAAGGCAGCTCTATGTCCAGCTAGAATTGCGTATGTATTGTAAGAGCAGTGCATTTTTTAATTTTAAAAAAAGGGAAGAGATCAGAATACCAACAACTGAAATTGAATCTCTTCACTTACACTGTCATATCATTTATCAAGTTAAAGTGTCTCCCAAGCTACCAAATTATCATCAATATCCAAACCACTTTGACAGTAACTCCACTCCATTTTTAAAGATCTGAAGTTAGCCCTGTTTAGCCTACCCAGATATAGAAGAATCCCCCACATTTTACAGGAAAACCAAACTGACTGGAAGCCATATCATCTAAAACAAACAAAAATCAATGGTGGTTACCACAAAAAGAACCCCTAAAACTGATCAGTAAGCAAAATTATGTGCAACATTACAGCTTCTATTGAGTTTTCCTGGAAGACTCAACTGATTTTTAGCCTATTAAGTGATTGTAGAGGTTTTCCAGTAGATGAAGATACTGTATCTTCAGTTCTAATTTCAATAGGAGACTTGTGACTGCTGCGCACACACAACAACCTCCCCGTTTTAACCTTCTGTGAGATGCAGGTGGTCATTACGATGCACCTGGAGAGGAAGAAGCTGAAAAAACTGCTTCATGATTTGCTTCAGAGCAGAAGGGAGAGGAAGGACTTGGGAAACGTGGATTTGACACCACATCTTCCCAGTCCTTCTCACAGCCTTACTTGTAAGGGTTGTTCTGATGATAAAATGAGATGCATGCAGTACTATGCTCCTTGGAGAAGGGGCAGGGTCCAAACGTGACATATCGAGACATCAAAAAGAGGCATCAACAGGAATCTCAGGTAACCATGATTTAAATTTTGAAGTGACCACAAGATGATTTTTTTAATTGTATGTGTGGAAATGGAAATAAAAAGATGATTAAAAAAAAAAAAAAAAAAAAAAAAAAAAAAAAAAAATCAGAATTCATTCCTGCCTGGAAACTCGATCTACACATGTGAAGAGGCAGAATTTATTCAGCGGTAAAACAAAGCCATCCTGAACAAGCTCGAGCTGCAAAGCTCTGAACTAATTGGACTCATCTACCTTTGCTTATGAACTACATTTGCCCCAGACATGATTTTATCTCTACATTGTATAAACACCCAGCCACGGAAGTTGGTTACCTAACAAACCAATTGGGCTGTTTTGTCTGCCAAGCAACCTATCTTGGAATTGTTCTAATAGGGTTTTTTTTATTCCTGTCAAAAAGAACTGCATACATTTTGGGAACAAATTTCAAAGTTATAGCCATGTTAGGATGTTGCAACATATACGAAAAGGAGTCTAAAGGTACCTTGAAGGCAACAGATTTTTGTGTCATAAATTTTCACAGATTAGAGCCCTCTTTTCCTTGAAATGTCTGATAGGATTATTCAGATCCAGGAAAACAGTCACAAAATAGCTAAATGAGATAGCAGCAGACATTCCAGTAAGATGCAAGCTCTTCCACTTTGGATAAGCTTAACTCATTTGCAGCAGCTTATCTACACTGTCATCCTTTTCCTATGCCCTGACAACTCAAACACAGAAGAACACTGTTCTTTGCAAGCTGCATCGCCAGAAATGATGTCACTGAAGCCTTTACATTTTTTTCCAGACTTCTAAAAAGTAGCACAAGCCAACTGTTGGGTCTATTCTAGCCAATGTAATGGAAGAGCCCCCTGTCCTACTCTTCTCCTTTAAGTGTTTTGTTAAATTAGTGATGTTGAGCAAAATCAGTTGGCAGGGGGGCACGCAGACACAGATGTCCCATGCAACTAACCAAATTCTTGTATTGACAGCTTAAAACTGAGGCAAGCCATTGTACACTGCTGGAGTTCAAGCCCGTATCACCTACTGTCGACCTACTATGGCATGTTAAAGTTGCAAGCCTCCCCATCTGTTAACAAACACATAATAAGAGCTTTATTTTCTAAACACTATTTTATGCGAACAATATCCATAGAAGAGGTTATCATCCTACTAGAAATAAATTATACTTACAAGGGCTGACATCTCTGTACCTGTTGCGAGTTTTATTTTTGAGAAGTTTGGCCACTTTGCAAGGGAAGTCACCGGCTTCATGTCTTATGTCCTAGGGAAAAAAATGAAAGACAATTTGCACCTGCTGTCAGTTTACATGAGGAGCCAGAGTTCAGTGCATTTGTGTTTTGCTTTGTTTTTGTTAGTTCATAAAATCCACTGGAAGTGGATGGGGTAATCGTGGAATTCATTTCTCTTTGGAAAGTGCACACAGCAACTGTTAAAGGCAAACATTTTATTTATTTGTTTTAAATTAAACAAGCTAAGGATTGCCTCTGGTGACACAGGCTAATATTATTGGCTGAAGTCATGGAGGTACCATCCACCGAAAATGGACCTGGACAGTAAGAATTGTGGGCTGTGACCATGTTGTCTGCTGGACACCTCTGATGTGATGCACAACCCCAAGAATTCTTTCACTGCCAAAACAAACTAGATCCACGCTGGTACATTTTAATTGCAAAATATCAACTAAATGAAAGTAGGACAGTTAAACAGGGATATCTGGAGCAACACATTTGTTCATCGATATTCAGCACACCACCACTGCATAAATACGTATTAATAGCTAAAGGCGACACATGTCTGGTTGAGATAAGAAGCCAAGTTTTTCCTTGAGTCATCACCAAGCTGTACTGGCACTGCAGATTTAAAGAGGACACTTCGTACTCAATGCGTTTTTGATACCAAGACAGGAACACCATCAACAGAGCTCTCCAACTTCTGTTCCAGTCGCTTACCTCTTCTGCATCTAACAAATCATTCAATACTCCGCTTAAATAATACAATGGTTGCCTTAAAATATAAATCAGAGCCTCATTACGTACAGCAGGAGAGCAGTACAAAAAGCGTACAGCCTAAGGAAAGACGGAAAACCTTGTGTAGACTGAGAAACAGAAAGAAAGAAGCTGCAAGGTTGTCACTCCAGGCGCTACCCAAAGCCAGCTGTTGTAAGGAAACTGAAGAAATCCCAGGACAGGGGTCTTACTTGTCCAGAATGAACAGTAAAGCTCAGCTTGAAAAAGGCCATCCAAGACAATTAAACAAGAGGCTGGGCCAAATGCATCATTTTCCACTAGGACTGGACTGAAGCCATTTTTTAATTTATTTTAACTAAATGTAAAAAGACTTTACACGGGTGCCATGCAAGCCTACTTTGTTTCCCCTAGTCTCTTTAGACATAATAGAGATTGAGTGCCAAATCCCAGTCAAAGCGATTTTCATGGAAAACACACCGTGGCAGACTGTACACAGCCCTGTCAAGAACTGAGCTAATAAATGGCTCGGAAAGCTGTTTTAATTTATACTGCGGCTTGCATGATAAAACTCTCCTAAAAGATCGTCAAGTCAGACCTCCAGTAACAAAAAATAGTGCTCTAAGTACAGACACATGAAATGCCTCTGATACAACTAGGGCGGATCTACTTCTCAAATCCTGTAGCCACACAAACTCCTATGCAGCCACACCTCAGCCTTCCCTGACCACAGTATCCTGTTTCACTTCAACTACAGCATCCTCGGTCTATCTGTGTTGCCACTTAAGAGAGGGTGAAACTACTGGTGTTCCTCTTATACCATCCTCCAATATCTCCATGAAAAAGGGATTCAACTACTATAACCTTGTGACTGGCAGGCCACCAAGAAACGGAAGATTTTATTTATTTATTTTTGGATTTATATCCCGCCCTCCCCTGAAGGCTCAGGGCGGTTAACAGTGAGGCACGAGTGCCAAAGTTAAAACAGATAAAAACAGCATAAAACAGAATAAAACAATATAATACAAACAACAAAGTGTCAGTGCTCCATTTATCACAAGATGGGGTAGATCTTAACCTAACGGCAACGTTCCAATAGCCTGTCATCCCTTCTCCTTCCAGGGTCACCTCGCACCCCGATGGAACCACATAATGGTGGAAGTGGTGCGATGATGCATAAATTGCGGTGATGGAATAGTGGTGGCGGCAGCTCCTACTCAAAAGCCTGGTGGAAGAGCTCCGTCTTACAGGCCCTGCGGAACTGAGAAAGGTCCTGCAGGGCCCGGATCTCCTTCGGAAGCTCCTTCCACCAGGTAGGAGATCACAAACTACAGTGAGTTTTCTGAAACTCATGGTCCCCAGAGTCCTAAGACACTTGAATTTCAGTCTCATGCTAACGTTTTTAAAGCCACATCCTTACGATAAGAAAGGTGGGATTTTTAACTTTGCTCTGTGAAGGAACAGAAAACTTGAAAGACAACAAGCACCAACAGTGCAAGATCTCCAGGCTTAGATACGTGAGCTTTTGAGCATGAGTCACCAGATAGCAATAACCTCATGTGCTCGATTCATTTCGGGAAAACAGATATGGCAACAAATGTGACTTGTGAATTGGGAGGAAGTGGGAGCTTACGAGAGACAAATCACTTTATCCCTTGAATCTTTATAAGCAAATCTAGATGCAAGTTTCCCATTTCCTTTGTAAGAATTCTGTTTAATATTTCATACAGAGGATCTTTAGATTGAGATGAAAAGAGGTCTTATTCTCTTATATCAGTTCCTTCACTCGGTCCTGCTTAGCTGCACCAGCACTTTTGTTTATAAATACTACCAAAGTATCATGATGGGCCATCACATTCTGATGAACCGCTTGCATAAAATCTGGTAAGTGTTCAGGCAACAATCCTAACATGTGTTATCAGGTTGGGACATTGTTCTTCCTGCCAACACTTAAGTGAAATCCTGTAGACAGTCTTGATGGGTCAATCGTGTCTCCCTTATTCTTTAACATTAAGCCACTAAACAGGATACTCGTCAACATTTTGTAAACGAATGCATGGATGTGCTTGACTGTCCAGTAATCCTCCCACACAGCAGTACACATCTGCAGAGAACTTTATCCATCTGTGTCTTCCTCCGCATTAGTTTATCCTCCATTTGTTTAAAAGCCAAGAGGGGATATTCCCCCCCACCAGTTAAAGATATATTTGAAAAATAACTGTTTGATAATATACTACCATGGTTCAAAATATACATTTACACCTGCATGGCACCCCAATGTTTGTATGTATGCATTTAGATATATGCCACAGACACTTCCAAGAGACATGACAGAGGTCTATAAAATTTTATATGGTGTGGAGAGTGGACAGAGAGAAACTTTTCTCCCTCTCCTGTAATACCAGAACCTGAGGTCTGAAACTAAGGGGACATTTTAGAGTCAGGAAGGAGTTTTCCTCCAGGGCAGATTGGTTCAGGGATCCTAGAGGTTTTTTTGCCTTTGTCTGGGCATAGAGCAGGGGTCACTGGAAGAGTCAGGGTGGGGGAACTGTGAATTTCCTGCATTGTGCAGGGAGATGGACTTGATGACTCTTGGGGTCACCTCCAGCTTTTTATGTTTCTAAAGTACTTCTTCAAATAGTGCATAGTGTCAGAGCCCCTGGAGAAATCAGTTCTCAATATCATTCAGAAGAAGTAGAGTTTATTGAGACACTGATAGGATCCAGATTCATAATGTACTTTGTTAGGACTGAGGCCCAGCACGTGAAGCCAGCAATTATATCATAATCAAAGCCCGCCAAGCTAATGCTCTAAAATTCTCAGGGGAACTAGGTTACATGGCTATACCAGACAGATAACGGGCAGAAACAAAACCATACATTCCAGCTTGTGCACCCCCGACCTCTCCATGGCAACCAAGCTCCTGACAGACGCTTTGGTTGACACATAGTTAAACTGTGGAACTTGCTGCCATAGGATGTAATGATGGCTGCCAATTTGGAAGGCCTTAAAAGGGAACTGGACAAATTCATGGAGGATAGGGCTACCAATGGCTACTAGTCATGATGGATCTCTACTCCCTCCAGTACCAGAGGCAGTGGTGCCTCTTTATGTCAGCTTCTGGGGGGCACAGGTGAGAGGATGCTGTTGCAGTCTTCCTGTTGGTGGGCTTCCTGGAAGTATCTGGTTGGCTGCTATGTGAACAGAATATGCTGGACTAGATGGGCATATGGTCAGATCTAGCAGGGCTCTTCTTGTGTTCATTATCCACAGACACTTTTTTAGAGACCCTGTGGAGGGAGCTAAAGAATGACAAAATATACAGACAGGAAGCAGCAATATTTGAAGTGTCCTACTACTGTTACTGATATCTTCTGCTTGGAAATGATCCAAAATATTTCCCATAGAGATTTAGTAATTTGTTCAACACCACTGTGAAGCACAGTACTTCTCAAAAAGTCAGTATCGCCATTTACATCAGTGAGTCAATTAAATACCAGTAACACAGAGATTTCTGTCAAGCAGACATGCTTTATGATGGCTGGCTTTACACAGCTGCAATGTCTTCTGCATTCACACAGTCACCAGATAAGAATCACAAAATATGAAAATGGCAGCACTATAACTATATTCTACCAACCTAGCAGTTCGAAAGCAAGAAATTGCAAGTAGATAAATAGGTACCACTTCGGTGAGAAGGTAACAGCATTCCGTGCACTTTGGTGTTTAGTCATGCCGGCCACATGACCACGGAAATGTCTTCGGACAGCGCTGGCTCTTCGGCTTGGAAACGGAGATGAGCACCGCAACCCTAGAGTCAGACTTGACTGGCTTTCGAGCAAGGGAACCTTTACCTTTACCTTTAAAGCTTTTCAGTCAGATCACAGGTGAACAAAGTGAAGCCTCAACCTTAATTGTCGTCTCTCGAATGAAAGCACAATTTAGCGTGCAGTAACCAACTACTTCTTTTCTACGGAAGTACATTGCTAGCCACCACTGGCGGCCAGACATAGCTTTAATGCAGAGTTTTAAGGGGACAGATAGTATCTTGCATCTTGTGATTTAATGACGTGCTAGTTGGAGAACAAGTATTTTGGTTCTTGGGGATATTATTTTTACCAGATTACTTTTCATTAGTTTGGCTGCTTAGCATTGCTGCTTAATATGGAGGGGAATTAAATAAGCAATTGTAATCTCGCTGCTATAAATGTACCCTTGCAACATAGCTTTCCTAGAAAGCCCCTTGCTGATTCAGTCCTAGAGAAGTAATTTGACACAAATTGCAGTGAAGCA